CCATATGCCCACCGGAGGTATCCCTTCGACTGTCTGAGCAGTTTAACGTGCTTGTCAGAAAAATCTGTAAAATTGTTGAGGCGAATACCGAAAGCACGAGATAAGATAAACTTGCTAGTAACAAAATTATATTCTGAATACAGCCCTAAAAAGTATCAGTCAATGTATTCTGACGTTTGAGGATGACTGCATGCATTTATGCAAGGAGTTATTGCTAAGTATTAGGTTGTTAACTAAGTTTTGCAACTTTCTCCTCAACTCCTTCCTCTTGAACAGCACTCGAGCTTCGGCATTATGTGAACTGCAATGTGGGCTACAAGCGAAACAAATTGATTGATTTTTGACAACGAAACAGAGTAAATTTAGGCATTTTCCCGAAAACACTGAATTTTGGAATCATTATTACAAGAAGAGATGAAGCCTTGTGCAGCTTGAATCAAACATATAGACCCAGAACCACTGCGGAATTATTGTCAAAGATTGGCTCACTGAGCTCTTCAAAAATAGCAGTTGGAGACTGTTCGAGATGTGGCGCCATCAAAATTCAAAAAGTGTAGCTGAATGCAAATTTGATATCAATATCCGTTTATAACTAGTGAGCGAAATCTCAGAGTCTGCCGAGACTTTCGTTATAAGAAATTGGACATGCTCAAATGAGTATCATATTCAGTTGCCGTCAGCTTGAAAGTTTTTCGTCATCATACCAAGAATGCACTGTTGTGCAATATGAGAACGAGTTTCATTATTAGCGTGTCGAAACTCCCCCACACCTAAACAAGCAAGTTTCAGGTGAAAAAACTGCAACAATTTGGAACTATCCGTGATTTTTTTCTTTTTACCGTACTCCTACCGTAGCAACCCTTACACGCGTTGCCAGAATCTATGACAAATTGCTGTATTTATAGCTCACATCAAAGTGTAAACACTGCCAAAATTTGAATTACCACATGCAAAAAGGAATAAAAATATGGAGAAAGTTGCAAAAAGTTAGCAACCAAATAAAAGCAAGCTTGGATGAAAAACAAACTTTATAAGACTTTACCTGTATATAAAATAATATGTTCTTCTTTAGCAAGCGTCTTTCATGTTCCGATTGCGTTCCATTGCTGTAGCGTAATCTCCAAAGGCGATATAGTTTACTCGAGCAAATCAAGCAAATTGTATCGTCCTCAACATCCCTTATGGGCGATATAAGAATGTTTTGCTTCTAGTGCTAGGCGATGTCCGAGCGATTGCGCAGTTGAGATTTTATAAGGAAAAAATAGCTGGCTTTCCCGGCTCTGAAGGCCTTTCAAACCACTATGACAAAGGTCCCATCCCTATCCATGTACAGTCATCCCCTGTGCCCACTTCTACATGCCAATTTCCTATTCCCGCTGTGTTAGTAATCAGCATGCTCGATTACTCATTCTTCTTTGTGCCGTGCCAGTGAGCGGCAGCCTTTTTTGCCCGCTCTGACCGTTTTTATTTTACAACGTTTTTCTCTTCCATTCTTGCATTTTGACGCTGTCTACGTTTGATTCTGTTGTTAGCAACTCTCTCAGCTGCTTATTTTCGGTTCGATTTTGTTTTTTTCTCATCCGGTTACCTTCTACTGGGTAGGAATCGCTATCGCTTGCGCCTTTTTGTATTGATTTTCTCGGCCTTTGACTATATTGAGTTCCTTGATCGTGATCATGCCTCCGAAAGCCTCTCGTTCATCTCGTAGAAGTGTTTCTAGCTCTGCATCGACTCCTGCTCCTATTGTTGGCATGCAAAATGAGGTCACCAGTGCTGACTATTCTAATATGTCGGCCTCAGACCTTCTGCTGCATATCAAGGATAGGAACAAGGATCCAGTGATTGAGCAATTGCTAGACATCCTATCGCGGAGACCCCAAAATGCGGTCTCTGGTGAACTTGAGGCTGAGAAACGATCACGTACAATTGTCATAAGTGGGATACGGGAGCCGTCGAATGATCTCCGCGCTTCGGAGCGGGCTAGGGACCTTAGGAGTGGGGTGGACGATATCATGGACGTTCTTGATATTGACTGCTGCCCAAGTGAAATCTTTCGCATTGGGAAGGCAGCACCCGACCCCTCGGCTAGTCAAGATAATTTTTCCGTCAACTTATTATTGGCAAAAAGCTCTAGCAAATTCGTATCGGCTTCGTAACTCGCCCTTCTCAAATATATTCATTCGTAAAAGTATGACTATCGAGGAAAGGAGGGTCGAATATGAACTTAGGCAGCAGGCTAAGGAACTCAACGCTGGGAAACCCGAGAAGGAGTGGGTCGTTTATCGCGGCCAACTGAAGCGTGTCTCGGAGCTTCCTAGTAGGAGTTCGGTAAACTAATGACTACGCATGGCAATCCTGGGATACTGAAATGTGTTTTACTGAACGCACGTAGTATTGTAAATAAATTGCATCACTTGCATTCGCTTCTGATTTATAATAAACCTGATCTCGTGTTTCTGACTGAAACCTGGCTTAAGCCAAAGGTACACGATTCTGAGCTGATCGGTGATCTGCCAAATTCTATATTTCGCACTGACAGACCGAAGCGAAAAGGTGGTGGTGTATGCTGCCTTGTTAAAGGCTGCTTCTACATCAAACAAGTGACAAGATTTATTGCTTCGCGTTCTGATTTATTGACTGTGGAACTTTTCTGTTTGTCGAGTCTGAAAACTGTCAAGTTCGTAATCGTGTATCGTCCACCTAACTCCACGCAGGGTGATGATAAACAGCTGATTGAGCTTCTCTCCAATCTAACTTCCGATGGAAATACTACACTTATTGTGGGCGATTTCAATCTACATATTGATTGGTTCAATATGAAGCACATTAGCCATGAATCTAAACCGTTCCTTGATTTCTTCATTGATGCTGAATTGAAACAGCATGTCTTATATCCTACTCACGCTGATAGTATTCTGGACATCATATTGTCTACTTCGGAAAACGTTCAAAGTGTCAGACTCTATCCACCTTTGGCTTCTGCAGATCATAACATCATTACATTTGAGTATAAAGATAACTTTCAGTTTGTCTCATCTTATCCTACACCCGATTTTGTGCACTTTGATTACGTTTCCCTCAACAAGTATTTATCTGAAGTTGATTGGACTGCACTGTTTGACAATTATCGCAATGTTGATGACTTGTACCTCAGATTCTGCCAAGTCATATATACTGGGATGGCATTGTTTGGTACTATGAGAATTAATTGCAACTTTGGATTGATCTATCCTGCTCATATTCATTCACTTATTGAACAGAAGTGTCGCTTATTTTGTGTTTTAGATTCACCTCTAACTAGCCCCCTGTACTAGAAAGTCTGTGCTGACATTGATCTGCACCTCAGAAAGTTTCTAGCCAATCATGAGCGACGCTTATCAAAGAAATCCTCTATGAGAAATTTATTTAGGTACATTCACCACAAGTTACAAAGTAAGGTTAGCCTCCCGGTGTTGAAAGACTCTTTGAGTTATACTTGCTGTACTGATTCCAATAAAGCAGAGGCCTTGGGTGAATACTTTGCCACTGTGTTCGCGAATCCTTTAAACATCACCCCCTCTTCCTCCCACCCTCCTTCTCAAAACAAATTGAACTCTGTTTATTTTCACCCTGCGGAAGTGAGAAGAGTCTTGAGGTCCCTAAAACCTTCGTGTATGGAGCCGTACGATGGCATCCCTCAGATACTCTATAAAATGTGTGCAGATACTCTTGCCAAACCGCTTGCTGATATATTCAATCTTTCCCTATACTTCAGTGAGATTCCCTTCCTTTGAAAGGGAAGCCATCGTTACAGTTGTGCCTAAAACTTCCGCAGCTGAAGGTGTTGCCGATTTTCGCCCCATTAGCCATAATTCTGTGCCCATCAAAATTATGGAAAGAATTATTAGAAGTAAATTACTACTTTGGTTAGAGAGGTTCCATCTTGTTTCGCCCGAGCACCGTGGCTTTGTGCCAGGCAAGTCAACTGCAACTAATCTTACTGAGGCCGTTTTTGATTGGAAATTAGCCTTGGGTTCGGGAAAATCTGTGGATATTATATACTTCGACCTTTCCAAGGCCTTTGATAGAATACCTCACCGTTTGCTTCTTTGCAAACTAGAGAATATCGGAATTCTGGGAGACCTACTAACTTGGTTTGAGTCTTACTTGAGCAATAGATGCATGACGGTAAAGATTGGTCATGAATATTCCAGAAAATTTCCCTGTCCCAGTGGAGTTCCTCAGGGAGCTGTCCTATCTCCTTTGTTATTTTTGGTATACACTTTGGACCTACCTGATGCTTTAAAAACATTAAATGTACACGTACAAATCTATGCGGACGATACAAAGATATATGCATCCTATGATGAAGACAACCTGGACACAGTTCATGATGCTTTGCAGTCATCGATTGATAAAATGTGTGCTTGGGCGTCTCAGAATGGACTCTCTCTCAACCCAAGAAAATGTTCCTTCCTCCATCTTGGCAAGCATTCCTCAACTCCGTATAAAATTGATGTAGTTGAGATGACTGCTTGTCAAGATGTGAAAGATCTGGGAGTTATTATCGATTGTGATTTGAAATTCTCTAAGCATATTGATTCAATTGTCAACAGGGCATATGCCACTTTATTTACAATCTTTCGCAATATACAAACTCGTAATCCTATAATACTGTCCCGGTTATACAAAGCTTATGTTATTCCACATCTTGAATACTGTTCGCAAGTTTGGACTCCTTCCCAAAAAAAGATATAATGAAGATTGAAAGAGTTCAGCACACTTTTACCCGCCTGGTCTTTCGTCGTGCGAGTGGTGGAACACTAGTTGATTTCCAGACTGTCACCTACGCTCTAATAGATTGGGCTTGACTCCTCTCAGAATTAGACGCATGATATCCGACCTCGTCTTTGTTTTCGTATTCTTCGCATGGAAATAAAATTAAAAGTAATTAAAAGCAAAAGCAATCATTCGTCTCACGCACGCGAGCTGAGCGGTTGTGTTCGATATTGCTCTGTATCATGGTATCCCAACGCCGATCAACTCAGTCCAGAAAAGGCAAAGAAGCTAATCCATTGACTCCGGTGACAAATATTCCTTCCTCTGATATTCTCAGTAGTTCGCAGAAGGATGATGAAGGTAAGTTATTTTCACAACTTCATTCCATATAGGCAGGGAAGGCCCCGGAGGCCTTACCCCTACTCGATCGATTGATGCAGTTGGTCAAACCTGCCACCAAGGACCTAATCGAGGAGGAAAAGCGGTCTCGGTCTATTGTTATCTCAGGGATTCCTGAATTGGAGGACGCTGTTGCCTCTCAGCGTCAGGGACATACTGAGAGTTCAGTTATGTCTATTCTAGACAAACTGGACATTGAGACGAGACCGCTTGAGGTCTACTGAATGGGGACATCTGGTGGCACCAAGCCAAGGCTAATCAAATGTGTCTTCTCATCTCACCAGTTTTATTATAACGCCCTTAAAAAGGCTCCCCTGCTGCGGAGGTTGCCCGGTTGTGATCAGATATTCATCCGCAGGTCGATGACCCGCGAGGAGAGAGATCACGACCGGGCCCTCCGCCAGCAGGCGCGTGATCTCAATAGTAAAGAACCTGGTGGCGGTAAAGTGTTCGTGGTCTACAGAGGACAGGTGGTGAGAGCCACAGACATTCCTTCCATAAAAGCATCACATCAAAAAAACTAATTGAGTGCCAGGATTCCGCGATTTCTTGTTTTTACTTAATGCTAAAATTTTAGTAAATAAATTTATTGAGTTCCGATATTTCGTCCACTTGCATAGACCAGCAGTAGTTTTTGTTACAGAATCATGGTTCAATCATAATATAACTGATGCCGAAATTCTTGCTGATCTACCATATAATGTTTTACGTAGCGATCGCATGAACAAAAAGGGTGGAGGAGTATGTGTTTTGATTCGATATGATATCGTCTTTCGTAATATCGAACACAGACATTCTGTACCGACTGATCTACTGGTTTTCGATTTGCTTGTCAATGCTGATGATTATGTCAGGTTTGTACTCCTTTATCGACCGCCTGGCCAAATAGCCTCTCATGATGAAGAACTTATTGACACTTTAGAAGATCTTGCCACGTCTGCCAGAAATACTATTTTTCTTGGCGATTTCAATCTGAACGACATTGATTGGTCTGAGATGAGAACAATGTCACTCTCCTCCGCCGTTTTGTTTCATTCTTCGAGTGTCTGAGGCTCTCACAACTTGTCACAAAACCCACGAGAGGTTCATCAATCTTGGATTTGATTTTTGCCAGAAGCGAGATGGTTTCCAAGATTCAAATACTCCCCCCCCCCTTGTGCAATGCTGATCACAATATTCTCTCTTTTGAAGTAGTCTTATCTGTCTCTGGTCATAGCGATATTTCTGAATATTCGTCTGTACGTGACTACTCTAATGCAGATAAAGCATCCATTAAGGCCATTTTGAACAGTATAGACTGGTTCAACGTTTTCGATGGGTATGCTGACATAGACGATCTTTATGACCGTTTCCTGAATGTAATCAAAGATTTGATTGTTCGATTTGTTCCCTTCAAACGAAGAAATCCTCCCTTTTTACGATACCCACAGCACATAAAGAATCTGTTTCTCAAAAGGATGAGATTATTCTTTGGCCTCCGAGATCCCTTGAGTGACACTGAATATAAAACTGTTTCTAAAGAGCTTTCGTATCAGCTGAGACGCTTTTTAAGACAGAAAGAAAAAAGAATGGCTAATAGGGCTTGTGGACGTAACTTTTGGATGTATCTCAATAAACACTTGAAAGGAAGCAGATTTACTGGTCCTTTACAGGACAGTGATGGTTACATCTACCATACCTCCACCTCTAAAGCTGAAGCTCTTGCAGATCAATTCTCACGCGTTTTCTCAGATCCTGTTGCCTCATGTCCATTACTAGAAAGCAGATCTTTTGAGTCTTGTCCCCCAGTAGAAATTGATCCTCGCATGATAAGAAAACTTTTGAGGAAAGTAAGTTCAGCGGTATCGCTAACATCCGATGATGTTCCAGCCATCTTTTACAAGATGTTCGCCAATGAATTGGCCTTCCCCTTAGCTCACATTTTCAATGTTTCCCTGATGATGGCAGAAGTTCCTCATCTTTGGAAAGCCGCTGTGGTCACCCCTCTGCCTAAGACCTCTAACCCCAAACTTTCTGATTATAGACCAATAAGCATTTTGCCTACACCGTGCAAACTACTTGAAAAGATCATTGCAAAAAATTTGCTGAAATGGTTAGACAAAATGCAATGTCTCCCAGAGCAGCAGCATGGATTTTTGCAAGGCCGATCTACCGGTACACAGCTTCTTGATGTCCAATTCGATTGGACAGAAGCGTTAAGCTTAAACCGATCAATAGATGTAGTCTATTTTAACTTAAGTAAAGCATTTGATACAGTAGATCACAACCTACTTTTGGCCAAGTTGGAGAGTTTGGGAGTTAGAGGCTTACAGCTCAGGTGGTTCGAATCCTATCTTCAAGACAGGACTTTTTCTGTTCGAATCCTCGATAAAATTTCTACGGCAAGATTATGCAGATCAGGGGTTCCGCAAGGCAGTATCTTGTCGCCGATTCTATTTGTCATATATACTGTCGACCTACCTAGCTTTCTCACCATAGACCCGGGAATTAAAGTAGCTGCGTATGCTGATGATATTAAAATTTATATCGCTTATGACCAGCATAATAAGGATAGAGCTAATGTAGCACTCCGCAATGCAATCTCTCGAATGATGCTTTGGGCTAGTAGATGGAATATCAAGGTAAATTACGCCAAGAGCTGCACAGTTCCCTTTGGCAGAACGCCGTTTCATCCTAGAGATAACTTTGAACTTGAATGCAAATTTTTGATCAAAGATCTTGGTGTTTATACGGATTCTAAGTTGAAATATTCAAGTCACATAGATGAAATCTCATCTCGAGGTACTCGAACACTTTATGCCTTAATGCGCACTGTTCCGTCCTGTGACCCCGAACTTTTAGTGAGAATCTATAAAACGTTTGTTCTGCCAGTGGTAGAATATTGCAGCTTTGTATGGAATCCTACATTGAAAAAAGACATTGATAAGATCGAGAAAATCCAAAGAACATTCACAAAGATTGTATTTTATCGTGCCTTCCCCAATCCAGAATATCCATCCGCCTTGCCGAATTATAAAACCAGGATTCGTAAATTGGGTCTTAGAACGCTTTTCTACAGGAGGTTTTTGGCTGACATTCTTATGGCTTTTAAAGTACTGCGAGCCGAGGTAGGTTTGAGGCCCGGTAAATACTGGGTTTTTCGACCTATTAGCGAACGTAGGGCATCTCTTAACCTGTTTGTTTCTAGGTTTGGGAGGTACAACATTTCGCTACAGTCCAACAATTTCTTTTATCGAGCAGCTTCTTTATTGAACAAGTTGCCACCGTCTTTCTTAGCCGTAAACTCAGCAGTTCAACTGAAAGCCTTGCTAAAGAAAGTAGATATTCTGCAGCTATGTGGAGTTGACGACGTTGTGTAATTTGACATCTATCGCAGTTACTTATCCTCTATTGGCGTGATCTGTTACGCATCTAGCTAGCTTCATCTTATGCCTGGTAGTGAATTCTCTTGCTTCAGTTTCTGTTACTAACGATATGGTTTGCTGTTGCATTGTTGTTTTTCTAACCGCTCCTAGATAGTAGTATTAGCAGAGCACTTTTAGGTGCATCGAAAATAAATAAATATTATATACTTCGACCTTTCCAAGGCCTTTGATAGAATACCTCACCGTTTGCTTCTTTGCAAACTAGAGAATATCGGAATTTTGGGAGACCTACTAACTTGGTTTGAGTCTTACTTGAGCAATAGATGCATGACGGTAAAGATTGGTCATGAATATTCCAGAAAATTTCCCTGTCCCAGTGGAGTTCCTCAGGGAGCTGTCCTATCTACTTTGTTATTTTTGGTATACACTTTGGACCTACCTGATGCTTTAAAAACATTAAATGTACACGTACAAATCTATGCGGACGATACAAAGATATATGCATCCTATGATGAAGACAACCTGGACACAGTTCATGATGCTTTGCAGTCATCGATTGATAAAATGTGTGCTTGGGCGTCTCAGAATGGACTCTCTCTCAACCCAAGAAAATGTTCCTTCCTCCATCTTGGCAAGCATTCCTCAACTCCGTATAAAACTGATGTAGTTGAGATGACTGCTTGTCAAGATGTGAAAGATCTGGGAGTTATTATCGATTGTGATTTGAAATTCTCTAAGCATATTGATTCAATTGTCAACAGGGCATATGCCACTTTATTTACAATCTTTCGCAATATACAAACTCGTAATCCTATAATACTGTCCCGGTTATACAAAGCTTATGTTATTTCACATCTTGAATACTGTTCGCAAGTTTGGACTCCTTCCCAAAAAAAGATATAATGAAGATTGAAAGAGTTCAGCACATTTTTACCCCCCTGGTCTTTCGTCGTGCGAGTGGTGGAACACTAGTTGATATTCCAGACTGTCACCTACGCTCTAATAAATTGGGCTTGACTCCTCTCAGAATTAGACGCATGATATCCGACCTCGTCTTTGTTTTCGTATTCTTCGCATGGAAATAAAATTAAAAGCAAGCAAATTTTGGATCTTCAAACCTGCTGGTACAAGGCTAGGTGGTTTCAATCTGCATTATAAACCTATCAAGCAACATCAGTCTGGAGTATTCAACTACCTGTTCTTCCGCTGTGCAAGATGGCTTCAGCGCTTACCCGTTGATATTGTGTCAGTGCGCGGCGGTGAAGCCTTCAAGAAAAAATTATGAAAAGCTGATTTGTCTCAACTTTTGAGCAGTGATACTTCTTCTTGATTGCGTTGCGTTTCTAATATTTGTGTTCAGATTCTTTTAGGGTTTAGGTCTTTGGGGCTTATGGTTGTTATGGTTCTCCCACGGTTTGGTTCTGAGGCTTGATCTTCTTTGCACTTCTTTTTTCCTTCTTTTTCTTCTATTTTATTTTTCATCTCTCAATAGTCTTCTTTTTAGATTCTCGCTCTTGTCCATGCGATTTACTATCTTTTTCGTATGACGGTTTCATGGCACGCGACTCTACCTGTCTCATGTTGATCCTTACTCTGGGCTGATTGTGGTCGAGGGATGCGGAACGAATGCTTTGTTGGACTGTAGTTTATGTTAGATCAGACTCTACCATTTCATTGGACCTTGGTTCAAATTATTGCCGTTCTCTGTTTGGTTTTCTTCTAACACTTTCATGCCTCACGCGTTAGTTTGAGTCTGGTTCCGTCTTATCACCTCAGTTATGCTTGGGCTAGCTTGTTTGGGCTTAAGACTTTTGCATTGTGCAACTTCTATCGGAGTTCTGTTCTCTCCCAGAGTTTTGGTTGGGCGGGTTTTATCAATATTACTGCCAATACACCTGCTTCCAACATATACAATTGCTTATGTTGAGTAAGAGCATTTTTTGCTAAGAGCAGGGGGCATGAGACAGACTCCGTTGAACCTCTACACCTGTGATGACTTCATATATGTCTAAACAAGCTCACTCCCTTTCCATTCCCAGAAAGGTTTTGCGGACTAGACTTGAACTGATTCAGTGGGGAGTTTGCCTTTTTGTTTTATTTTTTTTGTTGTTGGTTGTTTGGTGTGATGCTTCGTTCTTCTGTTGTATGGGCGCGCCTTGTGAGTATTAAATGAATAAATAAATAAAAAACCCCTTTGCGCCAACCCCCAGCCCCGTAGCTCAAACTTTGCAAAAAAATCGATAAGATCGATAAAAGTAATGGAAAATTTCAAAAACTAAAATTGTACTCGTAATCAGCAAGCTCACTACCCCCTGTACCAACTCAGGCCCCGTAGCTCAAACTTTGCAAAAAAAATCGATAAAATCGATAAAAGCTATGGGTAATTCCAAAAACTAATGTCGTATTCGTAATCATGCTTGACTACCCCCCTGGGCCAACTCCCAGCCCCGTGGGTCAAACTTTGCAAAAAATCGATAAAAATCGATAAAAGTAATGGATAATTCTAAAAACTGATATTGTATTCGTAATCAACATGCTCGATTACCCCCTGTGCCAAATCCCAGCCCCGTAGGTGAGCTCTGCAAAAAATCGATAAAATTCGATAAAATCGACATCGATCGATAACGAAGAGTAGCCTATGACCCCAGCCCGGCCCCGAAGTATATTCGTGGCAAGTTTGGTCCCAATCGGTTCAGAAATGGAATTTTCTATTCGGAACATATGTACACACAGACATACAGACATACATACAGACATACAGACAGACAAATAGACATTCAGCTTTATAAGATTGAGGAATTTTGACTACTATCATGTGTTCCATTTGTATCACCCTGATTGTACTCTTCTTAAGCGGACCGATTAGCATTTAGGATACTTAATATTAGTATTAGGTTGGAACATAAGTTTTGCAACTTTTCCCGTAACTTTTTTCTTTTCTAATGTAGCACTTTCATTTCTGGCATCATGTAGATTTTTATATAAGCTGCAAATCGTGAACAATTTGGGTTTTGATAACGTAGTAGAAAAAATTCAAACATTTTTCGAAAATTCTTAAAAATCGAGATTTCACAGTTTTTGGCAAACATGAAGCCGTAAAAACCCGAATCAAACATATCAAAAAAGATTTATAGGTAGCTGTAGCTAAATGTTGACACACCAGAATAAGTAAAAAAAGCGAAATTTGCCAACAAATCACGATAGGGCGCCTTTGAGAATTAGAACAAATGTGTCAAATAGGGAGGGCAATCTGTCAATAACTAAGCTGCAAAACCACAAATTCTAGAACTAAAGCTAGTTGCACAATAGGGTAATTCAATACCTGAACACATATTCACTTGTCGCTAAGGGATCGGTCAGAGTTTACCAGTGCAGCCTGTGTTGAAAGTGTTGCCAGTGTTGAATGTGATGAAAGTGTTGCCGGTGTTGAAAGTGTTCAAAGTGGAATTCATTAGTCTTGCGGTCTCATTCTTCCTCAACCCATCCCACAGGTTGGGGAGATCGGTTGCGAAGGAAGAGAATGGGACTCAGAAAGCAAAAAGATAGACGCTTCCGCTTACAAGAGATCCTCATACAAATTGTTTATAAGAGAAAATTTAGTGAGTGATGCTTGTCGGGTGTATATGACTCTTCTACGAATAGTGAACAAAAGTTTCACTTAGCAACCTGCAGGATCGGTTGAGGAAGACAAGAGGAAGATACTCGACGCGCATTACTCGTTAGATTTTCGCAACGTTCTTAGAGAGACCCGTGCTTGAAGCTTGCCTATGTCAACAAGTCCTCTACTTTCGAAAAAGCTTGTGTGAGGATCTATTGCATGCGGAAGTGTCCATCTTCTTTTCTAACTCTCCATTTTCATTTATTTCATCCTCAACCGACCTCGCCAACCTGCAGTATGGGTTGAGGAGGAATGAGACTGCAAGAGTAATGATATTCACATTCAGCATTTTCAACACTGGCAACACTTTTAGCACTTTCAACACAGGCAACACTTTCAACACCGACAACACTAGTAAACTAAAACCGATCCCAAAAAGATGAAGTTTATTTCTTGACCTTAAGATAGAGGCCTTGTCATGCAAAACCGGTCTCATTTTTGTGATCAGAATGTTGAATAATCCCCATAGACCACCCACCTTTCAACAAAATCCGACGCAATCTAAAAATCTTCCCATTATATCACAAACCTACCGTACCCTTTACATAAGATGGCAAAACTCGGCAAAAAAGCCTGCATGTGCCGTACATCATAATCTCTATCTTGTCGGAATGAACGGCTACGCTCACAAAGACAAAAGTTATGTAAAAAGTTGCATGGCTTATATGCCAACTTAATAACTGCAGGAGAGTTTGAGTTAATTAAGCTGTTGCCTGAGCAATGGCTTAGTTAATGCCTCCTGCGCATAAGAAGCCAGTCTTGATATGTGCCTGGACACTAACTGTAGCAAAGAAACACTCTTGTTGAAAAGGTGATTATAATCAAAAGTCAAGCACGTTACAGTCGGGTTCCAAAGTTCGCATTATGAGCATGGTTAATCAGCCACAATGCATGATGGCATGTGCTCCCAACTTCCTTTTCGGAATGATCTAGTCGCAAAAACAGCCTTCACACTTGTCTTTGCTTTTTTCCATATGCAGTAGAATGTTATTGTGTCAATGATAGATATCAGAGCGCAAAAGCATACGTCCTGAGCAACGACTTTGTAGTAAACTTCGATGTAACCGCAGGTGGTAGGACGAGGGCTCCATATAAATAGCGATGACTCAAACCATAGTGAACAATCATCTTTGAGTAATGATTAGTGAGATCAGTTTGAAAGACAAATAATCTAAAGGTCGAATCATTTCGTATCTCAATGTGTGTCAGAATACACACTCTCCACACTACGCCCACCAATCCTGGATGCGTGACTGTTGTGCGTACAAAATTTCAAACACTTAGAAGAACAAAAACTATCGAAAGGACGCTGAAAAAGCACTTTTCATTAGGAAGTTTGTCCTTACGACTAGCGACAACCAGGTGGCCTGCGTAATGGATAGTGTGTGCGTTTGAACATATTAGGATGCAAAATGACTCTGCTGTGCAAACGTACATGTGCTAAATACATACGAGAGCATGAGCAAGAGATATAATACAGAAGCAACCAGTAAAATAGATGAGTCTCCTTCCAGCAAAAATCTTACTAAATTGAAAAAACAAGGCAAATTTCTGTGTTTGGATAGCTATCGGATGGCTGCGCGCTTACCTGTATGATAGGGGCCATCCAACTGCAGCAAGACGATTTACAGCTATTTGAAAATCACTATATAGTGAGCAAAACCAGAAGAAAAAGTAAACCTGTGCTTTTCTAGACCCAACAAAAGTATCTGTGACTGACGCATCAAGTTCATGCAACGGCTTAGCTTAGACACTCGCTGATGACTCGCGCCGGAGATCCGCCCCTTTTTGAGGGATTCGCGGGAAAGGGCGTAGACATGCGCGAGACAATATTTTGACAGTTTTTGCGGATGGTCGCAAAAGAAAATCGGGAGATGATGAGTGACTCAACGAGTAGTTTCGCAATATCGACGCGCATTTCAAATCTCAGCTCATATTGCATCATTCCAGGTTTATTTGCTACCTATTTTCGAATTCGTGCATTCCATCCATCCCACCTAAGCCCTCTTCTTTCCATTATTTCATTCCAATCCAAAATTAACTTTATTTGAAATCCAACTTTGAAGCTTCTTTTTTAGAAATCGATTTCTAAGTTTGCATTATTATTTTTCATTGATTTAGATGGTGGACAAATCTTGGAAAGAACGACAGGGAGCGATCAAAAGCCTTCTACATGCTCTCACAGGCCAGGATGGATTGGGCGGTCTTCGCTCGCATAGCCTTCGGAAGAGCCTCGGAAGCTATTCGAGTATTGATAAGGCAGATGGACATTCCATCTTGCGTTTTGCAGGAGAGATGTACAAGCTTATGTACTGAATCCGGTAAGAGCTAAACTCCTTCCTCCAAAGGTAAGATGCCAGTGCACTTATTCCCAGTCTTCGTCGACATGGTTTTTTCTTTTCAGAAGAAGCGTGTGATCGAGACTACGGCAAGCAGCTCTTCTGCTGCCAAGGAAATAGAAAAGACCAGCCCCGACGAGATTCAGCCCATCTGCTACTACTTTTTTCTAATTTGCTGTACTTACATATCACTATCATATCATTAGCCTTAACTCTACTCCCGCTTTTGCGCATCACTTATTTGCATTCCGAGATTCTCATTGTTTAAACGGTTACCAAGTACACTTCTATCTCATCATGTATCTCCATATTGTGAAGCTTTAAAATGGTAAACATAGTAGTTTGACTCCCCTGAAGTTCTTATTTGATTTTCTTGCGTGGCTACATTGAACATAACTCTAACATTGAAATGTTCTTAAGATCGAAGTAAATTCACTATGTGCTAATGAAGTTTCCAATCAATCCTTATGTCATTTTAGTTTCCAATCAATCCTTATGTCCGCATTCTCGGGGGGTGGGGGTACATACACATTTAAGTATATACATATATGTGATGTACAGCAAGTATGGATATAGCAAAATTACTACTGCGAGATAACGCGCTCCAGTTGCGTAAGGACATCAGGATGTGTCGCCCTTGAGCTGCCGCGTATTTCCTGCAAGATGCGAATCGCGTCAAAGCATTGTCTCGGGCAGCATTGTTCCGACACATAATGCTGTCTCGAGATTTCGTCGCGAGGCCGATTAGTTGTGTCGCGCCTTCATTCAGCGCTTACACAAAACTTCGGGCTGCGCGAGTCAACAGCGAGTGTCTGAGAGAGAGTCATGAAACATAATCTCAATGCCTAACCGTACAAAATTGTTGCTGGTCCGCACCAGAGCGAGAAAACCAGCAATTCCACCGTGTTGGACACCAAACGCAAAGCACAAATGTAGCCAAACGCGCTGTAAAATAATGGTGTACGTAAGACGGCCAGAATCACAGTAACATTGATTCTCATGCCTATGACTCCAAGCTAAAATATCGTGCGACATTATGTTATTGTACTCAGTTCAGGAAAAGTGAAGGATGCAATCTCACTGCTGTCATGAGGAATCCTGTGACGATGTGCTCACAGGGCAAGGTGAGAGTAAAGTCGGTGCTCATCCTAATAGTTCTACAAGAGTACCGCAAGGAACACGCGTATATGGTTTGTTCTAAAATTCAGATGGTATAGAGAATCACGTTTCGCGTGAGGAAAGGATTGAAAGTCAAAGATTTCTTGTCTACGCAACAATCATCACAAACAAGCTGGAGAAAATGATAGATAAATGCGAGCCGTAACCTACAAGCATGTTCTCTAATCTGAACAAAGTCGTTGGTCTTCCTTGCTTTGTATAGAATAACTCGAGGTTACTGTGTCCAGCTTTGACTATTGAAACGCAGGAAATGAACGGACAGTAAGGAAACAATCGACGCAAAAAAGATTCTGAGCAACATCCTGTTTTAACAACAAGGGTAAACAAAATGCGTTTACGGAAGGCGTCAATAAAATACAAGAAGGATTTTTTGTTTCTAACAGCAAGGATAGGTTCCGCAAGTATGTGAGTGAAATCTTGAGAAAAGTTTGAAAAGCCTTGCTTGGTTTGACGTAGTGAAATGAGCATGAAACATGCACAAACTAAACTGGCATTATAAGTGGACTAGAATTTAACGCACTACGGCGTAGAAAATGGAACGAGCTATCTGCATACGTACTCGAAAAAGGCGGAGCGGGCGGGAACAGACTCCCTACCTTCATCAAAATCTTGCATTTCTCCTTGGCAAGTGGGCTGGGTGAGTTTGGAGTTGCCTTAAGCAAAAAAGCTTTGGTCGTCCCTCGTTGGGGGAATTTTGAGCACAGACTATTTTTGCGAGTAATTGGATCTGAATGATAAGTGATAGAATTGAAACTTTTTTACTTCTAAAAGAAGTCACTGGTAAAATAGCGTCAGCGGCAACAAGGTTTGAAGGACGATCTAGACTGCCGAAAAGATTGTTAAGCCGCTGTATAATTTCCTTATTGAGTAGAAGAATCATTGCAGATCTTATAAATACATCGGCGCTCCTTACAATGTCGACTATTCAACCGTAAGACCAACAGCCTCTTGAAATAAGTTTTCAGTTTCATTTTCATTTGCACGCAGGCGTTCCATAAGAACAAAACTAAACGGGATGTTAGTAATACAGGTCTTCGTCTTCTAAGTCTGTCGTCACCATTTCGACCGGTGGCTGGTATAATTCTTTAAAGCTCTTGCCCATCTTTCCTCTCCTTCGCACACCAAGATTTTTCTTGCAAACCTCCACTTTCTTTTTCGCATCATGCTAACATTTTCCTTGAGCTTTGTAATGGAACGGAGCCAGTTTGACGATTTCTAGTATTTTGAACGAAATCCGAGCATGGATCTCCTTTTCGCTCTTTCACATCGGAGAAGTTTCGTTAGCGAACTTTTCTTAAAGCCCACGTTTCACAACCATATGTGAATGTCGGAAAAAACGGCGTTAAAATAACGACGATTCGATCAACAGCCACATTCATCTTGGTGAGAAACTTTCGAATTTTGCCGAAAATATTCCATGCCAATCCAATGCGCCCGGTTATCTCTTTATCGTGATTACGCGGGCATTGCAGTAATTGGCCGAGATAAACATAGGCATATATACGCTCGATAACAGTGTCATTCAGTTTGATGGTACATGTCCAAACGTTTCCTCTATCTTCAGACATCCATTTTGTTTTACTTCCGCTGTTTTGAAATCCAGTTCGCCCGCATGCATCACGGAGCTTCACTGCCATTGACTGTAGTCGTCTGGACAACTTTCTATAAGCACGACGTCGTCAGCAAAGGCCAGGTAGCGAAGTTGTCTTCCACCAATATCATACGCATCTTCATCCCACTGGATCAATTCAATTGCAAATTGAAGACAGGCAATAAAAATCAATGGTGATAAAGCGTCTCTTTGACGGACTCTTTGTACCTCAAACAAAGCACTGATGTGATCAAGTTGGAGTGATGCAGTTGCTGCCTGTAGTGTATCATTGAAATTGTGTTAATGTCAATGTCAAAGTAATGAAGAGCATCCCAGATTGCATTGGACTCGATCGTATCAAACGCTTTTTAAACCCGAGGAAAAGAAGGACAAGTGGTAGATGGTATTTGCGTAATTTCTCAATTAGTTGATTTATAGCTTGCAAATGGTCAGTAGTTGAGAACTTTTGCCAATATCCACATTGATAGAATAGCATAGCATAACACCATCCGTCCGTCCATCCATCCACCGTCCAAAGCAGAACAAATGCAACTCCAACATCTCTGCTACAAAAAGGCTTGAACTGTTTTGTGTTTTCAACTGCCTCAACAAAGAGCAATTTGATGCTCAACTCAAAGGCTACTTATCTGCGTTCCTTTTTTCTTCTACTCCTGTAACGCAAAGCAGATACCTCTTGGACTACATCGCTTTCACCGCCCTCCCTCATCGTGGAATAAAAATGTCTACCGCTATTGTTACACGAAAGTTGGAAGCGGTTTGATATCAGTTAATAAGAGTTCATTTTTCTTTAAAATCGATAAAACAATAGAAGGAGTGGGAACTTCGGTGCGAAAAATAGCCTACGGGATGGACTGGACCCGTTTCGAGAACATATACTCAGACAAATGGCCGCAGGTGACCCGGCGGAACTTTCGCAGAGCGCTTGCGGAAGTTTCGCCGGGTCACCTGCTGAATTTCCGTAAACGTGCTGCGGAAGTTCCGAAATGAGGTCCTGCGGAAGTTCCGAAGAATGCCAACCACAAAAGCAGAAGAGAACACCGAAGCGAAATTTGAACCTCACTCTATTGACTGTGAGACCCACCTACATCCTCTATGCTGCGGCTGACATGTTCGATAATGCACTCTAGTTGTTGGCGAGGCAACATCACGAGACAACACATTTAAAGTCCTGTGGAAGTTCTGGCAGGCCAAAGTGCTGCGGAACCTCTAGCACTTTTCGGAATTTCCGCAAGATTTTGAAGAAGGTTCTGCGGAAGTTCCGATTTCAACCAGTCTGGCATGAAAATCCCGCGGAAGTTCCGATTTTCAACGTTTTCATTTCTGCAATAGTGAACAAAATCCTGCGGAACTTCTGCAAATCTGGCTTCTCCTGCGAAAGTTCCGGTGATTTGTCTGAGTATGTGCAAAGTTTGGCGCTGATTGGTGCACACACAAAATTTTCTATAAAGAACACACTAACTAACAACTTACCAACATAGCTTTATATATGTATAGACCGGTAGGTATTTTCTGCGTCGGATTCTTGGATATTGCGGGCTAAAAGAGACCTTTTACTGAGGAACAAAAATTCAGTATTTACTAGCTTTGAGTATGTTCTCTTCCCTTGATATTGAAAGCAGAATACAAGATCAAAAAATGTACGGCGATGCGCCAAAGACTCCTTATGAAACCTCAAGGCGGGCTTGGTATTTAGGAGGGACGTTCCGGGTGATAAACGTCTATACAACAGCCATGTAAAGAGCTGTTGAACCTATTCTACTTTTCGCATATCTTTTTGCGAAAGGGAGAGACCAGATTTGACAAGGAGAGGATACTTAGTCGAAAGCACCAATCCGGATGGGGCATATATCATCGTGACATATTCGGAGCGCTGATTTCATACCTGGCAAAATCAGCTGCGGAGCGACTTTGGGCAACGAATTATGGCTGTTTTTGTGGAGAAAATTTGAAGTCGAGGGAAGAAGAAAATTATACGCAGAAGTCTCCAGTTAGGCTCGAATGGGGGAGTGATGTCTGTCAGATTACTCTGCGCAAATAAAAATGTCTCTCTGCTATATCAATACCTAAAACGAGTCTATCTGCGTGATATACATGTTGTAACAATTAATTTTATTCTCTTTACCCATTCAATTTTTGGCTCTTAAAACGGTCATAGCTTCTCACCCAGAGGCGCTCCGCAGATAAGG